ACTCCGTCTCTACGTAGTCGTATCCTCTTTTTGGGAAGTGAGAATACAGTCACCCTAATCTATGCTAGCTGCTGCTGCCACCCTACAAGTTTTCAGCAACTTCTTTAACCTCTAATTTTGAAATGAGATGCGTTTAGAGTTTCTTATTGTCTCAGTTTTAACCCTTCAGTCCAATAAGAAGAAGGCAACAGTAGTGCTTTAGGTAGTATGTCTCTTGCTTGGAAAAATCTGTGGACCCCTGCTAAAGTCAGAGACTGAGAAAGAGGTATCTTGCTGCAAAACATGAAAACATGCGCCACTACTTAGCTAATGAACGCCAGGTTTCTGTGACCGCTGCAGAGAGTGTTTCTGTCGCCACTCTCAGACAAAGGCTTCTGTATTATGTTTGGCTCAACCTGCACATAATGGAAACAAAGAGTCTCCAGCTTAATGTGCCGTGCTCATCATGAGACATGAAGGCTGTGCTACATTAGCTTAACTGATGGAAAAGAGACAAAGCAGTGAAGTTTGGTGTCAAATCAAGAAATGAGGGAACAAGTCGGTACGTGAAGGAGTTTTTCAGGACAAGTGATCGACTGTCTGCAAAACTTTCTGCAAAAAAAACTGCAACTAAAGTGTCAAAAACATCGTATTTGATTCACGCCAAAGCAGCTGTGATATTTTGATAATGTCAAGTTATTTAAAGCTCCTGTGAGGAATTTTTAATATGTTATGAAACAAAGTCAAAGTAACAGTGATGCGATTCTAGGATGTTCAAAAGCAAATAAGATCATGAACGGCAAGATTGACAGTTTCTATACCGTCATTTTCAAGGTCTTCAACCTTCATGACAGGGTAGCATAAAAAATTCTTCACTGTAGCTTTAATGGAAACTCCCAAAAGGATAAATAAAGTTGTATATAATATAATCTAATCTAATAATGGGTAAAAATTGGGGCCATGTAGTGCAACAGAAAAAAAAATGCAACCGCTTAGATTATTAGAGTATCATTAGAATCTCTGATTGTTGCATGCCAGAGGTGAAAACTGCTGTGGTTTGCAGTCGAGCCTGAATTTACTCTCAGTTTAGAGACCAAAAATTCTCTCTTGGCATTCAGCTGTTTTATTGTCCTGCTGCTTCTATCATAAAGGTTTATATGCCACATGCTGTCAGGAGTCCACCAGTGCTATAAGCTTTGTTTTCATCACTGAATCTTGCATGAGCACATGGACACCCACAGGCAGCTTCATTCACAGCTTGGTGTTGGTTTCACGTCGTGCCGCTGATCGTCAGATCTGGCAAATGATCAGCAGTGAATGTAACTTTTATCTGTTTACAAAAAGAGTCACAGTCTGAAGGAATGAGAGATTAAAACCATAGTCGAGTTTTATCTTCCAGCCAAAGGAAAATACCTTCAAAAGTTGAACCATCTGCCATTTTTTTTTTGGCCTGTGTAGATCAATCCTCTGAATCTGTAGCTCAAAGTTCTGCTGAGCCAGACTTCTTGACCCTTTAGGACTTGAGCTCAAACACGCCGAGGTCACAAACGGAGCTAACCTGAAACATGATGATAATCTCTGTTGTCAAGCGTAACATTTGTAATATCAAGATGCTTTTGGTAACACAGCCCCCTGTACGGACCTTGTCAGCCACCCACTCTCATCTCCACCCTCAACCCCCACAAGGCGACTCCTCCAAGCTGACTGGAGACCCAGAGCCGTACGGAGATACAGTTCTGTCAAAAGTGTAGCTCCTACATCCAAATACTAAACCACTTTGACTACATGTGTTTTGAAAGCTTCGATATTCCCTTACACGATCTTCAGCTGCATTATTTCTTTCCAGCTATAATCCTCTATGAATCAAGTAAACTGGTGTCGTCTTAAGTTGGCAGAACTGGACTCTCGGTACGACTCTGGCGGTGTGTTGAAGCCAGGGGGCCATGCCACTGTCTGTTAGAGTAAAGCACCGATGCAAAGAATCTATAACAAAGATGGATCTATATCTAACATATTATAATATTTATCCCTGCTCTAACTGCCTATTTTGGTACAAAAAATAAAAGTCTTTATTGAGATTTACTGGAGTCTCGAATGTCTGCTTGATTTTTAAAACATGACTTTGGGGTTTTTTTTTTTCATCTTATCCGAAAGGGTAGCTGAAAAGAGAGGTGGGGAGTCGAGAGCAGGTAAGACTGTGAGGAGTGAGGACTGTTCAAACAACAGAAGAGTTTTGAAATTAGATCAGCTGATTCAGTTTTAGTTTTAGCCTGATAACCTAAAGTATGTGTTGCTCAAATTTCTGAGTGGGGAGGGGGACAATTGATCCAAAAACAGAGACAAACTCAGTTGTGACCGATGCCTCGCTGCAGTTTGTTTTCTATTATCCTGATAAAACTTCTACAGTCAATCATTTCACCCTCTCCACATATCTACCTGACAGTTTCAGTCACTTCATCAGAATGTATCTGGTCCAAAGTTGACACTCTTTCTAGAGCTATCTGGTCACTGAGTTCATGTACACATAATCTGGTCATCAAAGATAGATTTCCTGTTGTAAACTGCAGACTGACGGATATATAAAATATGGACGCTTCCAAATTGGCAGCAAACCAATCTCTGAATGTAAAGTGACTGCTCATCACATCACATGAATATTGTTATCTCAGGAGACCCTATAAAACAGTTTTTACTGGATTCACACAAAGCCTGCTGTACGTGACGTCGTTAAAGCTCAGTGGGGCAAGGACAACGACGAACACATGCAGGACAGTAAATTCAAGATTTACTACTTTCTGTGCATGCAAAGAAAAAGACGTTCAAGTTGTGCAAGTTAAGAGTAAGTTTAATGTGACAGCAGACTTCCAGGTCAGCTGATGTGAGGTGATGAGTGCGCCTGTTAATAGCATCTCCCTGACTCATCTGTTTCGCTGTCACCTTCACCGTGTCAGCCTCACTTTCTCACAGTTTGTCTTCTTGTTAATGTCGTAGCTGTGCAAACACAACCTGACTTCTGCGGTCACATTTACAGCATTGTTCAGTCAAATTTGTCTCTAAGTTAAAGCTCCAGTTATCAGCTGATTATGTTTGCTTTTTCTCGTTCCTCAACAGCTTTTCAAACTTTATTGGTCTTATCAACAAGCTTCCGTCCCAGAGTGTGAGAACAGAGAAACAATCACTGCAATCACAGAGTTTTATGACTTAAGTTCCTTCCTGTGTTTCACCAAATGTTTGCAGAAATATTTTATAGTTATGGTAATGCATCATCATATCCTGCCATTTCTATAAATGCTCTGTAGTTTGCAGAAAAATCAGGAACCTGACAAAGGTAGTTTGAATTTATCCTTTGAAAGTTATCTAATCAAAAGACGGAAGCAATTCAGGTGTCTAATGCCATAAACGTGTTCTGTCTCCTCTGTTTTCTTTGTTCTATTACCCTCTTAACTACTTAACAGTGAGCCTGCATCCTGCTGAGCTCTACTGTTTTACTGAGCACTGAACATTTGGAGCTATTTGACTTCTTTCCTTGAAAAGTTTTATAGTATCTTCAGTCAAAGCGTGAGTTAAGCTCTCGTCATGCCAAAGCTTTCTGACTGGGCTAGCTCCATTCTTCTACAGCTGACACATCACTGTCCACATACAGAGAAATACGTCCAATGTTGTACTGTTTTATGTATTATATCTGTTACTGAGATGATTGACATGGATTCATCAGGGCCTGTGTGCACTAATGGTGTATTTTGCAGCCACAGCTCCTGTTTTTAATTATACAAAAGCAGTGATGGTCAACACTCTATGTGCAGATACTCACAGCACTCTAAACAGGAAAATGTTAGCTTCTAGACCTCCACCCGTCATGGATGGATGGATGGATGGATGGATGGATGGATGATAGGTGGGTAACTATATGGATGGATGAATAGATAAATCTTTTGATGGATGGGTGGATGTTTGGATGGATGAACAAATGAATTGATAAAAGGGTAAGTAGGTTGATAACAGGACGGATGGATAGAAAAAAGATGATTAGTTGGTTGGTTGGATGGATGACAAACAGTACTAGCAGGTTAGGATTATTCTTTTATGGAGGTTGTTGGAACTTCAGTCACAAAATGGCAAAAATGGACACAGGCCCTTAAGCAGCTATCTTGTTGTTATATTTGCCAGATTTGGTTTGCTAGCATTCATAATTTTCATTATATGTTGTTTATTTAGTTTTCCCCTGGTTTTATTTGAGTGTATTTTGTGTATTTTCCTTAGTATTTCTGATCACCTATTGTTCTTATTCCCTTGTCGTCCAGTCTTGTGAGTTTTTCAGTGTGTGTCTGACCCCGTTTCCCTCCTGTTCTCTGTCTTATTCTTTAGATCAGTTTTCAGTGTTTCCTATTTTATTTTTTGAGTAGTGGATTCCTTGTGCTTCTACTTTCCTAATTCTCCTTCCTTTGTCAATCACTAACGAGTTTCACCTGTGTCTCGTCTGCCTCACCTGTCACTTGTTTCTCTGTGTTTATATAGCCCCTGTCTACCCCTCTCTCTTTGTTGGTTCATTGTGTGTGTATGCTTGTGTCCCCAGTTGTCTCCTTGTGTTTTCTTCCCTAAGTGCCCATTTTTTTTCAGTTGAACATTTCAAAGTAAGTTTTTTGTTGCCCTTCATTTAGTTTTTCTTAATAAATCATTTTTTGAATCTGCACTTGGGTCCTTTTCCCTTTTGTTAAACCCTGGCTCATGACAATAACGTTCAGAGCAAGGTACCAAAAATAGTTACAGGTAAACACAACAGATCAGAAAGTAAAAGATTTATCACTGAGTCATAACAAAGAACAAAAGTGTACAAAAAGTTTGTACTTTGGCCAAAATAAAGGAATTTTTATGGCAGTTTCAGATGATGACATGTCAGTCATGTGCTGCCATTTCCCCCATGGCCTACATATTACACAAAACAATCACAGTAATGTTTAATCATGTGCTCAAGAGGTATGAAACCCAATACACCCAATAGGTAAACAGCTTTTTTTGTGTGAGTCTGCAGTCTTTCCCAGCAGTGAGTCAGTGAACAAACTTCCTCTACATTAGCCTGAATCCCTCCTTTCCATTTGAGTGGAAAAGCACCACCCGAGGCGAGGAGAGGGAGGCAGAGGTGGGGCTCTCTGACAGTAAAAGACCTCTCTGTCTGGCCTGTGGCCTGCAGCCAGCCAGGCAGCAGCAGAGACGTGTCACACCAGGTAGCTGCTCGAGGAAGACGTATATCATGAAACCCATATACTAAGGTTCAAATTCATGAGCTGAGAGTCCTGCAGGACACGCTGTGAATGACTGTGCCATAAATTGCTCATAAAACTCCTGCCACCTTTGAGCTTCACACAAGGACTCTACGCCAGATCTTGAGGACAGAGGCTGGACTTTGACTCGGGAGTCGTCATATAAATTAGAGGAGAAGGCATAAGGGGGTCATTTTACTCTAGAGAGAGGAAAAGAGCGAGGCGATGGCCATGTGGAGGACGGCAGGAGCTCTTCTGCTCATACTACACACAGGTAAGAAAAAAATTCTCAAATAAGTTATTAAAAAAATCTCAGTTTGGCTTTTCTTGATAAACGTTAACTCCTAAAAACATAAAGTGGGATTATAGATGTTTTTTTGTACACATGGTCTTTGTGGCTCTCCGTTCTTGATTCTTTTTATCCGTGCTGTGTCACTTTGACCACAAATTCAAGGCAAAGTTTCTTCTTTAGGTTTTTATGTGTCCCTCTGTCTTCCATCTTACAACAGATGTATGAGAGGTACAGGTTTATCCAGTAAAAGCTAAGTAACGTGTTTTCTAAGAGAGGTCAACTCCTCTTGAGCAGAAAAAGGAACTTTTTTTCATGTGCTTCGTTTTTAGACTCTCTGATTTGTGCCCCAGTGAAGAAGCATGTGACCCCCTTCAATTTGAGCACAAGGACCAAAGTACTGCTCCATTATGTTTTGACCTGTTGCTCAAGTATGATGGCCTTGATAAGAAAGCAGGAAAGGAAAATATTCAGGCACAATTTTCACAAGCTTCCAGGAACCTCCTGACTCCATCACATAAATTTAATTGTCTGTTTCAAGCAAAAATGATGGTCATCTTCTCTGTTTATGAACTGGTGAAGTATGCTGTATTTCACAATAAAACTCCTCATATCATGTGACTGTTAAATGGAAGAACTAGGGCTGGGCGATATGGCGTTAAATCAATATCACGATATCTTGAGCAGTTCACCTTGATAATAAATGGATGATAACTACTCCACAAGCTGCTCACACCCTTCCACATTAACTCTGTCTACTTCAGCCGCTACAACTTTTGAATTGTCCTCCATCTCCTCACCTGTCTTTCCCTCTTTGTTACGGACTGGATGGGGTGGAGTCACGTCTCCGACATAGGACAGCGTCTTATAAGGACATGAGACCATAGCCTACCTACACACATCCAAAAACAACTTTTATTTTTTTTGTTTACACCGAATATATTGACACGGGAAAAATGACGTCGGTTATTGTCATGAATTTCAGTATCGGTAAATTTTCGGTTTATCGCCCAGCCCTAGAAAGAACTCATTTGTTCCATGTCCGCCTTATCAGTATGTCGACATAAAACATTTGTTGGAATAACCTAAACGTGGAGAATATGTCTGTGTATCTTTCTCAGTTTTAGGGCAGAGCACCATCAAGTGGTGCACCATCTCAGAGGCAGAGCAGAGGAAATGTCAGGCCATGTCACAGGCTTTCTCTCAAGTCTCCATCCGTCCATCCCTCAGCTGCATCAACGGACAGACATCCGACGGCTGCGTTCAGAAACTTCAGGTGGGAAACCATCAACAGACTTTTTACTTCAATAAATCTTCAACCTAATAGGAAGTTACTCATTGTTACTGCTTTTGTAAACTATTTCAGCACCTTTTAATTCACGCTAGATGGCTCATTATAGAGCTTATTAAACTGCACTCATAATCTGGCCTTAGACAACAAAGCAGAAGCTCTTTGGACAGCTGGGATGAGCAGGTTAATAAGCAATACAGTTACTAGGAAGCACAAAGAAAACAGGGTTTATAATCATCACTGGAAAATATCTGATCGAAGGAACAGGGTGTCCTATAACAGAAGTGAAACTGAGAGGAAAAGTGAGGCTTTCACATTTCTTCATGAAGATTATAAGAAAATACCTAGTCAGCTAAAATGTTTAGTAAAAATATTTTTTGACATTTTAAATCTCTGATCTAAAAGGAAAATGTTTTCTCCTAAAAGCCCCAAAAAGTCGATGATTCTGCTCAAAATCTTGCAAGTCTCTTGACAACAGGGCTTTCAACACTTCTCCCAGGTATTACAGCTTTTATGTGATATCAGGAAACATAACAATTCTTCCCATCTGTGTTTCTGCAGAGAAAAGAAGTAGACGCCTTTTCGACGTTTGGCTCTGACATCTACAGGATGGGAAAGACGGCGTCCTTCAAGATCGCTGCCAGTGAATCAAAAGCTGACCGTGAGTCAAACAACATATTTTTGTAATTTTTGTTTTCATCTTTGGTTTATAATGTCCATTAGGACTTCATAAAATTAAACTTCTTGCTGTAAAAAACACGCAGGCTCATGATAAAGAGGAACTTTCTATATTGTTGCCTCATGTCTGGTGAAATTTTGAAGCTCCTTCAGTGATGACACATTAGTCAAAGTAACACTTGACAATCTAGGCTAAATCAGATTAATTTAATGCTGGGATGCTCTGAGTTGAACATTGACATTTTAAAACTCAAATGATACTCTGCACTGCCTCTTATTCCCATTCCCTGATAATAAAAGCTCAGATAGGGCCTGAATGTCTCACATTAAATAGCTGCTGAATAACACCTGCTTATTCCCCAGGAACTGGTGCCTCCTACTACGCAGTTGCAGTGGTGAAGAAATCAAATTCCGCCATCAATATCAACAACCTGAAGGGAAAGAAGAGCTGCCACACAGGGAAAGGCCGAACAGCTGGCTGGAATATGCCTTTAGGATACTTCATAGACCAGGGCTTCATGTCAGTGATGGGCTGCAACATCCCACAGGGTAAGAAGTATTTATTACATCCACACATATAGACATGCTAAGACTACACAGAAAGCTGAAGAGGCGTTTTGTGTGGTTTTGTGGTCAGGTGTGGCAAATTTCTTCAATGCAAGTTGCATCCCCGGAGCGAATGAGGCGGGCGACCCTGCGTCTTTGTGCCAGCTGTGCAAAGGAGACAGTACAGGAGCACACAAATGTGAGAAGAGCGACAAAGAGATGTACTTCAGCTATGAGGGAGCTTTCAGGTAACAAACGTTCATACTCCACATAATCTGTTGTAGAGATGTGACAGGTGTGCAATTCCACTTGGACCCATATCCTAAAGTCTTGACCTTTTTTTTATGTTTTTGTGTTTTTAGATGTCTGGTTGAAAATGCAGGAGAGGTGGCTTTCATCAAACACACAACTGTGGAGGAAAACACTGATGGTGAGACTTTGTAGGACAGCCAGTAATTCACGCACTACAGCAACATTCCCTTTGTTTGTTAGCATGTCCTTTAGCTAACCAGATCATTCACTAACTCACTACAGCAAGCAAAAAAATTTTTTTTTGTAGGGCTGTAGGGGAAAGTCCTGCCTCCTTCACCTCTGATCGGCTAGAAAAGCTGGAAACGTCACCACACACTCAAGCCAAATGTGGGCTGTCGGCTCTGTGCATCGAACAGAACATTACAGAACATTATCGCACTTCTGAATCTCCTAACCCTCATCCTAACTCTAATCCTAACCCTAACCTGACAGACGATGACGTTTTCACAGCCATTAACTGACCAGATCATTCACTAACTACAGCAACAGCCCCTTTGTTTGTTAGCTAACTAGATTAATTCACTAACTGCAGCAACAGTCCCTTTGTTTGTTAGTATGTCTGATAGCTAACCAGATCATTCCCACCCAGGTCATGGTCCATCCTGGGCTCAGTTACTGAAGTCAGCAGACTATCAGCTCCTGTGTCGCGACGGTACCAGAGCTCCCGTGTCTCAGTGGAAAACCTGCCATCTGGTCCGTGTCCCTCTTCGTGGGGTGATAGTCGGCAATCACATCACTCCCTCCGTGGTGTTCAACATGCTAACTGAGGGCCTGGTATGTCATTTATTGAAAACTAAAAACAGCTTTTAAACTTTTGAGATTTAGTGAGAGAGAGGAAGGAAAATGTCGTTGCTACTTTTACAGTCCAAGCTGATAAAATAAAAGATGTTAACTCCTCATGTACAGTCAGTTTGACTTTAAACTTACACTGTGAAATGGAACTAAATAGCACTGTCCATGTATGAGTAAGTAATTTTGTGTTTTTCTGCAGGAGAAATCAAACTTCAACATGTTTTCGTCTGCGGATTATGGTGGTGGAAATTTGCTTTTCTCTGAATCATCCACCATGTTTCAGTCGGTGGAGTCGGACAACCCTGTGAGCTGGATGGGCCGTTTCTACAACAGTGCTATGAAAGCCATGGACTGTAAAACTGAAGGTGACGCACCTGTTTATCTTCATCTAAACCTCATATACTGTAAACTAGTCAATCCAAAGAGTTCATCTTGGACATATAATCTTGTTTCATCCTTGTTGTATCTTCCTTTGTCATCCATTCATCTTCTGATAACCCAGATGTCTTGCGGTGGTGCGTTCTGTCCGGTGGTGAGCAGCAGAAGTGCGGTGATATGGGCGCTGCCTTCAGCAGCAAACGTCTGACTCCAACCATCCGGTGTGTCCGTGGCGACTCTGTGACTGACTGCATGGAGAAGATCAAGGTAACACACCTTTCTAACTGCCTTTTCTTATCCAGCTTTTGATTGGCCAATAAAAATATAAACCAAGTCGTGAAAATTGTACATTGACACAAAAACATTCAAATAAGTTTTAAGCCTTCTTGGGTGTTAGCTATATGTTAACAGGGACAATGTTAGCAAACTATTGTTAAGGAAAATGTCATCAAGGTTAACGGTTGATTTAACCATTACCACGCTAGCATTGTTAATTAGCATTTAAAGCTGCGGTGAGGAACCTTTGCTTTGTCTCTCTGTGGGCAAAGCCCCCTCAAATCTTTACTTAACTTGTCCTTAACATGCTTTAGTTATAGATTTTGACTAAACAATCTTATCTTGTTGATATCTGAAAGTCAAATTTGTCGTTCATTGTGAATATTTAATAGAAACAGGGCTGTTTAGCTGTAAGGCCGACACCTACCTTCTGACACCTGGTCTCAAGCATTACAAATTGCGATATATAAATCTTAATACTTGTCACCCATGATCTTGTTTGCTTTTGGAAGTCATAAAAAGGCATTAATATACATTTCAGTCTATTTCATAAACATAAAAAATCCTTACAGGAGCTTTAAATACATATTGTGTTTTGAATCAGCTTTAGCGTAACACCAACTTATTTTAACATAAACTCCTAACTTAAAGCTCCTGTGAAAAACTTCAGTGTGTCATTTATTGTGAATATTTTTGTGTAAGTTGTTAAATCAGGGCTGTTTCTTTAGCTGCTTAGCCAACATCTACCCCCTCGCAATGGTTTGAGGCATTAAAATTTACAATATAGAGATCATCAGTTTCGTTGTTGATGGTCTTTTTTGTTTTTATTTATCAGAAAAAAAGATTTAATGCAAATCTCAGTCTGTTTCATAAAGATTTAAAAAACTCTTCACTGGAGCTTTAATTTTACTTGCTGATAAACTATAATGAAATATAACTGCAGATTTTTGTTCAAACTAAATCATGAAGACAAACCAACTCAGACCAATCATACAAAGCTAGCTAAAATAAATGAAAAGTACGAAGTTATTGTTGTCCTTTTTTAACAGCTTTTTGTCACCTTATGAAGGTCTTTGGCTGCTTTATTGGCTTTATTAGCAGGTCAGGTATCTCAAACTCTTCTTTCTCTTTGTACATTTGTGTAGAACAACGAGGCAGATGCCATCACTCTGGATGGAGGTGACATCTACACAGCAGGCAAAGACTACAGCTTAGTCCCAGCGACAGGCGAGAGCTACACAGGTAAAAAAATAAAAAAATAAAAAAACAACAACAGTGTAGTCTCAGCTTTTCCTTTAAACAGCAAATTAAAGATGTGATTTTTCTAACCTCTACAGATGACCGTGATGGTGCCATATACTACGCAGTCGCTGTGGTGAAAAAGAGTAGCGCTGACATCCGTAGCCTTGATGACCTGCGGGGTCGCCGCTCCTGTCACACTGGGTACGGTCGCACAGCCGGCTGGAACATCCCGGTATCGTCGTTGATAGAGAGGGGCCTGATCACCCCCAAGCAATGTCAGATACCACAAGGTTAGTTGGACGTTTGAACTTCAATAATCCTACTTCATGGAGATCTAGTGGTCAAAACACAAGGAAAACTGTGAATTAAAGGAATAATTGGCTATTATTGAGAGCAGAAATTGTTAAATTTAGTGTGATTTGCTCAAACAAGGTGATATGTTTTTAACTAATTACAACGGGAGCCAATTTCTTTCTCTTAGTCTTAAATAACTCGCTGTATTCCCTGTTCTGATGCTTAGCGGTGGGAGGATTCTTCAAGGAGAGCTGTGTACCTGGCGCAAACCAGCCCAACTTTCCCAGCAGCCTTTGCGGACTTTGTGCTGGAGACGCCAAAGGAGAGAACAAGTGTGAGAAGGGAAAGGACCTGTTTGATGGATATGACGGTGCCTTCAGGTACTAAAACCTGCAGAAACCCTCCAAAATCTGCACATAATTAAGATTACACATTGGGTTTCATGAGTTTAATGTCCCTATTGGAGATATTATGAAGTGATTACTGTTGTTTTAATTTACAATCACTCAGTTTACAGTAAGTTTTAAAAGCCATCAGCTTTCATTCAGAGAGAAACTGCTTCTGTCGATTTGAAATGATGGATGACTACATTACCCATAAGCCATAGCTACAGTTGCTACAAAGAACATCTGGGTTCTCCTGTCTGTCCACTCAGGTGTCTGGCCGTGGGAGATGGAGAGGTGGCTTTCGTTAAACACTCCACTGTCTTCCAAAACACCGATGGTAACGCAAATCACCAAACTGTACAAATACTTCTCCTATTAGGATGTCCAGAGTCTGAATCGTGGTTTACTCTGTGTGTTCGTTCAGGTAATGGTGACTCGTGGGCCGTGGATCTCCTGTCAACAGACTACCAGCTGCTGTGTCCTCATAACGCGAAAGCCGAGGTGTCCCAGTACAGGAGCTGTAACCTGGCCAGAGTCCCCTCTCACGCTGTGATGGTGCGGCCCGACACCAACATTCATGCTGTCTATGGAGTCCTGGATCAGGCACAGGTAAGAGTCTCTGCACATTTGAAATGTATGTGAGTGAATTGGAGGCTTTGAGACCTTGAAACAGGTCAATGCTGAGGATTCTGGTCAAATTTTTACAAGCACCAAACAAGTTGTAAGACTCTTGGTGATCCGTTTAAAGCACATATAGGGAGTTTTTTGATGTTCATGAAATAGACTGAAATGAATGTTGATGCCTTTTCATGATATCCAAAAGCAAGCAAGACCATCAGAAACAAGACTGACAGTTTGAGGATGTAAAGGCATGAAAAATAAACACCGCTTTGTTCACAGGGGGCGCCAAATTGACACAAAAGTTTCTCAGAAGAGTTTTAAAGACGCTCTGACATCTCAAAAGTATTGAGTGGCAGCAAGAACACGTAGAAAAGTGAAGCATAGATGTACAGTTTATCGAAGATGTGAATATCAGTGGTTAGTTATTTTTTTAGCTGTAAGGTTACTCAAAAATTTTACTCTTTTTGTTCTCCTGCAGACATATTTCGGCAGTGATACAGGAACCGCTTTCAAGATGTTTGACTCCCAGGACTACGAGGGCACAGATCTTGTCTTCAAAGACTCCACTGTTCGCCTGGTGGCTGTTGCTGAGAAAAAGACCTATCAGGAGTGGCTGGGACAGGGATACATGGACTCTCTGGTCGACATGCAGTGTAACTCTTCAAGTGCAGGTAAAAACATACTGAACTACATGAATTACTGTTACGTCTTCGAGCACAAACATCAATATAAGGACTACTTTTTAATGTGTCAGAGATACATTTCTATCTTCTCCCTCATTTTACAGTCATGTCCTCTGTATGGCTGCTGCTGGTGACCCTGTTCAGCCTCATGATGACCAACCTCTGGATGTAAAAGCCTCAAACAGCTTCGAGCGTCCAAGCTTTTCTCCTACTTCCTTAATCACCACATCTCCTCTTCACCTCCTTTATCTATCCAAGAGACCATTTCATCTGTTGTCCAATCAAGACCCTCTCCTCCTTTTAAATGGTTTTATTCTACCTGATTGTGAGATGTTTTAATACGTGGGAGGATGGCATGTTGTCGGGACTGCCTTTGGATTTGAACGGTGCTAGTTTCTACGTAAAAGAGGCACTAAGTCTCCTGTTTTTGGGACGAGAGAAGAGGGTGTTGCCGCCACTTTGTTTACTGAAGGTGAGCTGCCATATCAGTGAGTATGCTGCCACCTGTTACATTGCTTTAGTGGACGATGCATCCCTTTCTCTGTGAAGATAGTTTACAAAGAGCAGACAATCTGACTTTTTTACATTCATATGAGCCACAGAAAATATCAAGCTTCTCTGATGTGGACAAATTAATCTTAGGGTGATAAAATCAACTTATTAGGTCAACCAATTTCTTGCGGCAGAGCCACGACAGAGAGCTCATCCCCTCAAACGTTTAATAACATATTGATTCATACTGACTCCAGATCAGATTCTCTGGTATTTTAAAGGCTTCATATGAATATTAAAGTTAGATTCCTGTTCTACTTTGCCGCCAGCTTTGTGAGTACGACTAACAAACACGGCCCTCTTTTTTTGTTTGGGCTGCGATGAGCTTATGCCATATCAGTGAATATGCACTAGTGTTACCTCCACACAGAGCTGTGCTGAGGATGTTGTGATGATGAGTGACTGTTTGTCCATAGGCTGTCTGCTTCATGTATTCTCCCCAGATACTTAAAAGTCAAAGAGACAATGAACTAAATACACTTTTTGTATTAATAATCTAATGTTTTCAGATTTTAAAGTTAGTGTGCTTTTCTCCTGCGGCTTCTTTTACATCTTTGATTTGAACTTTTGGACAAAGTTGGAGTAAGTTAGCCTGACTACATGTCAGCTTCCATCAGATTTGGGGAGAACATACAGGAAGCTTCCTGTAGTTTGTGTCTGAGTGAATGAGCATTTGCTTGGCTGGGATAAAAATCTGACTTTAATTCACCACTTTAACCTGGCTGCCATTTTTTTTTTCCATCATAACTCGCTAATATTATCAAATGTTAAAACACTGTCTGAGCTTAAGACAATCTACAGTATTGTAATGAATATAACATTTCTCTGTGCTTGTTCAGCAACTTAAAAAGACATTGATCTCACTCAAACAGCTCGCTCCTAAATGTCCTCTAGCTAACCCATTCTCGTCACATCTCCTGTCTGTCCTTCCTGTTAAAAATGTTGATTTGGGTGTGTATTTTCCTATGTTGAGAGATTTATTTTTATATGAAGTTCAGATGCCATATCAGTGTATATGTACTGACTCATGCTGTCAGAAATAATACCTTCTCTTTCCTCCTGATAAGAGATTTATTTCTTTGTGAAATGATTATCATGTAACTAATATTTAGTTGCCAGGCCAGTGCGTCTGCACGAGTATTGCTACATAAAGCTGCTGACTTGAGCTGTTTTCTGTGCTCGTTCAAATAAAGAAAAGCTTCTGCAAAGTGGGTTTTGTCGCACTTTCTTGAGTCTGAGTGTCATCGGTTTTGATCTCTTCCTCGTCCACTGTTATTTGCATGACACTAAGTGTGCCATGCTGCGAATTTACCGCAGGTGATCTGCAGCGCCATTGCTGCAAATGTATGCAAAATTCAGCATGTTGGCATGTAAGTTTTTAGAGTGTATGAATAACATTACAACAGCACTTTAAGAGTTTACTGTACCTCATTTTATACTGCTAAACTGTGTTTCAATGCCAGAAGGTTTCAAAGAAAAAGCCTCTGGTAAAATATGATGATGCATATATAATCCTTCTCAAATTACCAAAATGGACTAAGTGCAAGAGTATATGTCTGTTTCCACTTTTAATGCTGCAGGAAAATACATTATGTATGTGTAGGTGAAATGATGCAGAAAATGGCGCTCAGTCACTCGACTCTACATAAGTGAAGTACTCATCCTGCTGTTGGAAACATTCAATCTAACATGACTTTATCGCTGCATTTTGTAGATCCCTTATTCCATTAATACTTAGATTTTTCCTTTTTAACCCCAGAACACTATCGCTAAAATTAGTGACACCATCACTATCGCCGTGTGAGTGAGTAAAAATGACCAGCTGACTAAAATATTTCTTATCACCATTTGAATTCCCTTAAAATCACTACTTTGTGAAAGTTATCATAACCACTACGCTAAATAAAGATAGCATGCAAATTCCAGGACCTTACTGACCTTATTCCCTACATGCAGCTATCAAATCCACCAAAACCTACTTGGCCCTCTATCACTATTGCAGGGTGAAAGTCACTCAAACACGTGTCTGTAGGAAAAAAACAGGTTTTGGATCAGGGAAACAAATCTGTCTTCAAAGATATCAAAGGAAATGCTGAAGCTACCCAGAGACCCATGATACTCAGACAAACACAACAATGAAAATCACATAAACATGTTTGGTTAGTGGGAAAATCACCTGGTGATGGTGTTCTAGGGTTAATGATAATGTGAACATATAGATCTGAAATAAAGTATCCAGTGTAACTAGTTCCTTTGTCTTATCGGTTTCCTCTTATCATATGAACTTTTTCATCGCCAAAAGTTTTCAAAAATCCCTGCCAATCTGAAAAATTCAGTCTAAAAATGTAAAATATTTGTATCAACTGTTACTAAACTGCTCCGGAACTTTTCTTCACTTCAGAGACCAAATATCACAGAGGACTAAACTGTCATCTTATCTGTACACAAACTCTTTCTAGAGTTTCATATCTCCGCTGTTGTGGTTATAAGAGCACATGGACTATGAGCCGTGTTTGGCCTTCACCTCTCCTGACTGTTCAGATGTGATGTTTCTGTTCTTAGAGTCAGACCTCAGTTGTGTCACTACTTGGAAGTTTTCCCAGTTGACGGCATTCGGTTATCGCCTAGTTTACCTTTGCACTCCTGTAAGTCTTGACTTCATCTGTATTCTGGGGTTACAAAAAGAGACAGCTCACAGTTATTAGCAGAGACGATGTCTGATTGTTTTGTTATAAATTATAATCTTTATTCATCAGAAGAAAAAAAGGTGAATTTGCTGTATGCACATATCATCTCTCTCTACATATATACACCCCAACAATAACATTTTTACAAAGACAGATCCACAGACGCCCAACACATCCTCAGGTAAAGACATCATCCGTCCCCACATGTCCACCATCACTTCTACTTCTTCTTTGTTAAAAAATTTCACACTAAGTCTGTTTGTATCTTCTCAAAAATGTGGGTACAGTGAGTTCACATAGTTAAAAACACCTGGTCTCTGTATTGATTGTAATTGATCAGCATGAAGCCATTTTCTGGAAGTCTCTTAAGGTCATGAGGGTTCAACAGGCAGTCCAGGTGAAGAGGTTAGAGTCCTCTTGTCTCTCAGTCCTTCTGGTCCTCCTTTCTCGCCTTTCTTCTTCATTTCTTGATCTGTCTGGACCCGTCCTTCCACCCCTCTTTCACCTCGTTCACAAATGTCTCTTTGACTTTCTTAAACCGGCTGCCGAGCTCCCCCAGATCCTCGGGGACTCTACCGGCCTCCTCTCGGACCTGCCGCAGCGTCTGGGAGCGCAGTGCCCGCTCTGAGGCGTCCTTCCCGGCTATCTGAGCCTTGGTGATGGCGTACGCAGTGATCTGAGCCGCCCTGCGGATCGGACGAGACTCCGCCAACTTCTCGATGATGTGAGGGTTGTTGATGAGGTTGAATAAAAAGCGGAAAATCATCTTGAGACCGGATTTCTCAGGGTTCTTGGTCCCAGAACGACGTTAGCTCTCCTTGAGAGGTCGGGATTCAGCCTGAAATGACACGGAGGTTCAGCGTTTGTCTGCGGTAAGTATTACATTAACTTAAACACACACGTATATATGCTGTTTTTGTTGCATAAATGGATAAACTGCACATAAAGTGGTTGACTTACTTGAGTTGAGCAGGTCACAGACAGGTTACAGAGGACGACATAACAACGCACTGAAAGGCCAGACTGAAGTTAGTTTCTGATTCGACTATTAAAAACCTTAAGGAAGCCCTGAGCTGACATACCTCCATATATTTACTCCACTTCTCTTATAAATGATGTTTTTTCATATATTTTCTTTAGACTTTAGATTACCATAACTCCAAATTATGTCTTTATGGTGTTACTTTATTTGATAGAGGATAATTAAAGGAAAAACTGAGTAGGAGGGCCTTTCTGCAGACTGTGCCTGTTTTCGAATTGGCCTACTGCATACTCCTGCTGACCGCAGTATGCAGTATCTACTGCATACTGAGTACTGTGTTTGATAGTTGTATGCAGTATGACTGTGAGTCGGCCATTATTATGTGGTATGCTTGGCCCGGTTTAGCTGGTTTCCGGTATGGAAAAGTCTATCGTACCCTGGTAAATGGCAATGACACTACAGCATTGCCCCAAACTTTATTGAACTCATTCAATAAATCTGTGATGTGAACACTTGTATTGACAGGATATGGGTTCGGAAAAAAAAATGACGTCCGAAATAATCGCAGGACAAAAACGGTCCTGGAGTGAAAGGACCTTTTATAGTGCGAAAAATTCGGAATATATTCTGTTTTGTACTGAAAACACGAAAACAAACACTAATCTTTTATTTTTTGGTTATATAGAAAACAAATAAACAAAATATTGACTCGTTTTCGTTAACTAGATTGAATGGAATAATTGAATGGACGGATTTGCTCTCCACAGCCGCCTTAACTTCATTTAGACGAATCTGAAGCCAACTTCAGCGTTGTGGCTGACGGTCTGACGGACGTTTTTGATGGTAACACAAGCCGGTAAAACTGGATCCGGGTCGAATCATACGTCCATCCGCCCTCAGTCACTGATTTCCCGGCTCATTTCCCTGATTCATCCTCCAGATTTGCACATCAGCTTCGACCCTGATCTTTTGTTAAATCCACTCCTCCTGCCAGTCGGACCCTGAGCTCGATCTGCAGCCACCATCATGCGGGTGTTGTTGTTGTTCGCTGTCACCGTGCTGCTGTCTCTAAACCCGGCGGCGGTCAGAGGAGCCGAGAAGAAGAAGCTGCAGATCGGCATCAAGAAGAGAGTGGACAACTGCCCCATCAAGTCCCGCAAAGGAGACGTCCTCAACATGCACTACACCGGGAAACTGGAGGACGGCACCGAGTTCGACAGCAGCATCCCCCGGAACAGACCCTTCACCTTCACCCTCGGTACCGGACAGGTGATTAAAGGCTGGGACCAGGGCCTGCTGGGCATGTGCGAGGGCGAGAAGAGGAAGCTGGTCATCCCCGCAGAGCTGGGCTACGGAGACCGGGGAGCTCCACCGAAGATCCCCGGGGGAGCGACGCTCATTTTCGAGGTGGAGCTGCTCACTATCGAGAGGAAATCCGAGCTTTGATGAAGGGAAGAAGAGAGAGAGAGATCACTTTAAAAACGTGAGTCTGCACAGGTGTGTGTGTGTGTGTGTGTCAGCTGTTTGCACGATTCTACAATCTGTACATTATCTCACATTATCCCTAAATGCTTAAAAGAACCACTTAGTACCAAGAGACACTGAAGGAAGAGCCAACAAATATCTATTACAGATACTATTAACAATAGCAATTTAATGCACTACAGCAGGGGTGTCAAATTCAACCACAGCAGGGGCCATAATCTGGATTTAGGTCCAACCTGAGGGCCCAACAGTGTCAACGTTTCACCAAAACTGTCAACCTCCTTGTCAAAAAATATGTAACAAAAACAGCAATGATTATAAATCATTTGGAAATTCAAAAAAGATAAAAAGATAAGTTTAAAGGCAATCTGAGATAGAAAAAAAAACATTATTTTTTTTCTATTTTTGCTTATTAGCTCAAAAGATCCAGAGCATGATATTAAAAATAGAAAAATAATGTTTTTGAAGAGCAAATACATGAGGTGAGCGTTGAAATCAGGTTTAAAAGGTCAAAATAGGACTTAAAATTTAAAATTGGAATCTAAAGATAAAAATGACATAAATCTAAAAACTGAGTTGAACAAAATTAAAGCATGAAAAAAAAATCCAATCATGTTTGACTTGTAATCTTGAAATGCAAAATTGAAAACATGAAATAAAACACCAAATATTTTCCCCCCACATTCTCGACTATTTATCAAATCTTCCTGACTCTTTAATTTCCCAGATTTTCATGGTTTATTAAGGATATTTTAAATAATGGTGCTAAAGTTTACATTATTATACTGGAGGAAATCTGCAGACTTCATACTGGTGGGCCAATAATAATACAAATATATGATCTTGTGGGCCAGATAGAATTGTTCCACAGACCAGATTTGTAACATAATCACTGAGATTTCAAAAACATATATTCACAGAAAGGGGTAGCCCTGCTAAGAGCATACTGACATAATTGTATTCCTTTTATTCAGCATTTCTTTGTCATTATAGTCTTTGTCTCTTTTGTTGTACCAAAACTGTTAAAGACAAACGGGTTACCCAGGTTACACCACAAATATACTCAAAACGATAAACGATGGCGGTGCTTGGTGGAAAGAACACCAGGTACTAGCCATAAATGGAGTTTTAAACAGCTAATATTTTCCTTTAGATTAACTGGAAAATTCACTGATGAGAAATTTGTCTCTGAGATTAAGAGAAAAATGTTTCAAACAAAGGTAGAGAATAAATCATAACCAATAGCAGATATAAAATAATAGCCAGGTCATCTCAGTGAATATGCACCCTTTATTTTTTCTTGTTCATTGTATGTCAGTATTAGGCGCCTGATCTGGGGCCTCATATCTGCCTTTCAACCCTCTATCTCTGTCATTATTCTAGACTACTTGTTGCAGATAAAATGAGTGAACTAATAAGTTTTTGAGACTTCTGCTCCAGTAAATGTGTTTTCCCTTTGGGTGTGTTCTCGCTCAACACTCTGTCAACATCCTGCACAATAAAACAGGTTGATTGGATCAACATCCCACAAATGAAAGTCAAATACTTCAAACTTGTGTTGTCTTTGATAATTAAACTTTGTAACTTCCCACATATGGTGTCAAAAGTTTCAGAGAGTGTTATGCTGGAGTTTATAATTTTCCAAACTCTAAATATTGACAGAAAGATTGTCCTTTAAATAGTAAATTCATAATGATCCCAACTTTTAGTTATAGTCCTCATGACCTAATAATCAGTACCAGTATCAGCCCTTAAAAAAAGGTCAGCATCTCATTAAAATAATGTGTGAAGGGCTTTTTTTGTGGAAAATAGACAGATAGTCAAGATGAATAACAGAGATGATTGTTAATTTTTTCGTTCAGTATGTGTATGTTAAAAACAGATCATATTTAAAAGATTTGGTTGCCGTGATTGTTTTTTTAATCGCGTTAAAAATTTTAGGAAGAAAACATGTTTCAATATCATTATTTTTAGTAAAACTGTACAGCTGTACATGTGTTTTTGCAATATCAATCTAATGCATGACAGGAGAGGTCAACCACAGCATCTTCTGTATTTTTAAAATCATATTTTTATAGTGGGTGTAGTTCGTTAATTGTTTGCATTTGTAGTATTTATTATTAAGTGGTGAAGTCTGCCATTGCTACACTAGCTTTACATTTTCCTTACATACATAAGACTCTCCTTTTCTCATTGTTGGCAGCCTGTTTACTGTCACTTATGTTGCTTTAGATTAAATCACTGTTTTGATGTAAAGCATGTGCAGGAAACCCTCTCATCTAATCCACTGATCGTTTCCTAAAACCATTTCTCCAGCGTCACTGTTTCTGCAAAAGATCCGTGCTCATTTTCACCTCTTTTGATAAGGTTTATGGGTGGATGAAAGAACAGTAATAATGAGCTGAACAGCTGCAGGCTACAGAAACTGAAAAAAGTCCTGTTTCATTATCCGTTCTCATAATAAACCCGGACCTTGATTTGACGAGCATTACTGGTAACACCAAATCTCGAAGGGAGAGCTGCTGGCAGTTTCACAAAAAGGAAAAAAAATAAAAATCATTGACCCTGAGCCGCAAACCTCAAAGCAGAGCTAATTAATGTGAGAAAAGTCATGTAATCTTTTTTCTGCGTTCGTCTTTTAAGGTTCCAGGAGCTGCTACAGCATAAAAAGGAGACATCCAAACTCTGATGACGACTACGAGGCAAATATGGGAGGAGCCCCCCCTGGCAGATCCACTGTTGTCCTTTTCTGGCTTGTAAACTGGCTCTTATGCTCTGATTCATTGAACTGATGTGATTATATGGTACAAGAACTGACGGTGTGCTTTGGCTAAACATAAGTAGAACTGACAGCGAGCAGAAAAGACCAGGATTTTGCTGTGGGCTGATGATCAAGTCATTTCCTGCCATATCGTCTCTTTTTTTTTTGTCTTCCCATTTTCTGTGATTTATAAGCCAGTTGATTCATTACTGTACCTCCTTTTCAAAATCATATAAACTGTTTGTTAAGCCAGAAGTCAGAGATATAAGAACATATGTTTTTGTTTACTTTGATTATTTGAAACATGATAATAAAATGTTGACCTTACTGTAAAGTTTGCAATTTAAAAGTGTCTTTCTTTGGATAAGAAATAAAGTACAGAGTGATCCTTTTAAAAACGAGAGGAACTTTTTATTTACAGGTACAGTGAGTTTGATACCATTATGATATTTGTGTAAGTTACACATAGTTAAAAAAAAAAAATATATATATATATATATATATATATATATATATATATATATTTATATATAACTGAAAACAGTTTTGTAAAAATGTATGAACAAAATAACTAACATTTTTTGTTTCATGAAAATGTAGTGAAATAAAATAGGAAAAATAAAGTGTATCAAAGACTACAAAAAAAGACAATTTTATGTAGAAATAGGAAAAAATTGTGATCATTGTTCCAAAAATATAGATTTTATTTATATTTTCTTATACGAAATACACAAAAAATTTAAAACTTCCAGAGTAACTGAGGAAGATAGCTTTAAAGTGATTTAAATACCATAAAATATTTCACATTTTCTAAGGTATCTCTTTTAAGTGCAAGAAAATGAGTGAATTTTACAACAGTATTTCAACAACAAATACAGAAAACCCCTCAAAATGAACATCACAACAACAACCTAGAATAACAGTCATTATAAATTGCCTTTTTGATGTAACAGCCTGGATGTCAGAGAATTTTCTGCAGCTCAACCAGGACAAAACGGAGGTTTCAATAATTGGTTCAAAGGCTCAGAGAGAAACTGACTCCCAAACTCCACAAAAGAGGACTTGAGCCCAACCAAGAGGCACAAAATCTAATTTTAACTTTAAAACTCATGTTCGGGGGTCACTAAAACAGCCTTTTATCATCTTAAAAACATTGCAAAAGTACGACTGTTTCTCTCTTTGAGCCAGACAGAGAGACTAATGCAAGCTTTTATAACCAGCAGGCTTGACTACTGTAACGCTCCCCTCTCTGGTCTACCCAAAAGCTCGATAAACCAGCTACAGCTGATCCAAAACTCTGCTGCTAGAGTTTTGGCTAGGACCAGGGGAAGAGCTCATATTACACCCATTTTAAAGTCTTTGCACTGGCTGCCTGTTAGTTTTCACAATGATTTTAAAATTCTTATACTAGTTTATAAAGCTCTACATGGCCTGGCACCAGAATACCTTGCAAAAACGATTTTAATTTATGAACCAGGGCGGCCTCTCAGACAAAAACGATTTGGTGACGCTCCAAAACTGTGGAACAAACTTCCAGAGGGTCTGAGACAAGCTGCAAATATAGACATCTTTACACGTAACCTAATAACATATCGATTTAGCCTGGCTTTTATGTAAAGCTTCATTATTTTAATTACTATCATAATTTATTTATTTTTAGTATCACTGTTTACCTGATTTTATTAATCAATTTAAGTTTATATTTAATTGTCTGTTTTAGTCCATTTTAATAACTTATATTTGTCTTGTCCTGATGTAAAACACTTTGAGCTGCAATTTCATTTGTATGAACAGTGCTATATTAATCAACTTTGACTGACTGATTGATTGGTTGATTGATTGAATATGATTACAGGCGTCAGAAGAGGACAACGCCAAAGGGAAACTAACGACAAAACCGCAGTGACCAATCATATGCGAACACATCTCCACTGTTATTAAACATCAAACCTCATGGCATCGATTTACCAGAAGGGGGCGCCACTCAGCTGTATCTGTTACTCGGAACTTTTGTACCCGGAGTACTTTAAATGACGGACCCGTGACCCGGTAGTTGCTTGGTTGTTTTTTCTGTGATGCTAACAGTTGGTTAGCTGCAGGCGGCGTTAACGAGTATTCCTCAAGATGTCTGCGAAACTAAACGCTTTAACCAGCGATTCTTACATCGATGTTAGTCAGTACAGGGACCAGCATTTTAAGGTAAGTGACGAGGTTAAAAACGAGTTTGAAGAAAGAGGAGATAATGTAGAAAACTGCTGTTGTGCATATCGATGCGGCGGTTATTGTTAGCAGTTAGCAGCAGCAATGTGCAGTTATCTGTTTCTTTTTCACTCTAACTTTAAAACTCTCAATAATAAGGATCTTTAGAGACTATCCATCAACAGTACATACAGGGTCCCAGCCACAGTACTAGCCACCGAACATCTTATTAACTTTACCTAATTTCTTTAGCAATAGAGACTAAACACAACTCACCTACTCTCTCCTAGCAGTATGGAAGTAAATCTGTGCCATCTGGTTTTGAATTAGAATTTCTAAAGCTAATTTTTTTCCCATCAAAATCAGACTTGGAATTTCAAAACTATCGAATTTCAAGCACGCATCTTTATTTATTACACCAACTTTTTTCGCAATGATGAAATAAATTCAGTGTAAAAACAATCGATCGCTCAAAAGATTTGTTTAGTAAAAATTCAACTGAAAAAAAACCCCAAAAATAGACGGCTTCAATATCCGGGTATCATCCATCGTCCAGCCAATCAAATAATGCTAAATTGGTCGTGTGGCACCGACCCCAGTGGAAGATTGAGGAATCGATTTGTTCTCCCTGATTACCCAGATGCTGAGTCCGTCTGTTTCACACAAAATTTTTTGACACTGAATTTTTTTTATGTTGAACTATTTTTTACACAGTTTATCTTTAAGTCGAATTTTTACTGCACAAATATTTCAAAAAACTTTTTTTCTACAATGAATTTATTTCATCATTGTGGAAAAAAAATTAAAGTGTAAGAAATAAAAATGAGTGCTTGAAATTCGCTAGTTTTGAAATTTAAAGTCTGATTTTGATGCAAAAGAAATTGAGCTTTCGAAATTCAAAATCAGATGGCACAGATGTACTTCCATACAGCAGCTGCTTGTTTGTAGCGAGACCAAGTAATGATCATAAATGTTCTTCCTTGAGCTGCGTCACCCCACTGTAGTCCATAATGAACTGGCCTGAGGTCTCGCTACAAACAAGCAGCTGCTGGAAGAGAGTAAGTGAGTTTCTAAAGAAATCAGGCAAAGCTAAAAAGATGTTTGATGGCTAGTGCTATGGCTGTGACCCTGTATGTACTGTTGATGAAGTTAGGTGCTGTTCTGAGCATTATTTGTGTCTATAGAGCGGCAATTTGGTTGAGGTTTGTTTATTGCTTTTCAGACCGCTGTGTATTGCTATCCTGCGGTTGTTACTAAAGTCGGTATAACTAGAGAAGCAAGCGGTCGGCAACATTCATGTCTCGAGGGGGGTGTCTAACTTTGTGTTTGACCCTAAATTAATTCTACGTCGGAATATCCCTTTTAAATGCTCCACGTGTGTCTACTTCTGTCTCTGTTTCCAGGGTAACCGCTATGACCAGGAGAAGCTGCTGAAGCAGAGCAACACTTTGTATGTTGGGAATCTCTCTTTCTACACAACCGAGGAGCAGGTACACTTCCTTTACAACACCTGACATTACTGGATAACATTAATCCTCTCAGGCCTGCAGCTTACTGTAATTCTCCTGCTGTCAGTGTTTTCATGTACATCTGATGGTGTTAAATGTCTGTATATTTACAAAGGAGTAAGTGTTTCTGGTGTACTATGATGACTTACCACATATCTCTTTTAATAATTCCCACTTTTTTCTGCTTTCTTGTTTCTGTTGAACAGGTACATGAACTTTTTTCTAAAAGTGGAGATGTCAAACGCATCATCATAGGTCTGGATAAAATCAAGAAGACGGCCTGTGGATTCTGCTTTGTAGAGTATCCTTTATCGTGAAAAAACTCACATTGAAATACTAATTTTTCTACTTTTACTTGTCTACAATATAGAGATGTATTGTGTAGGGTTTAGCAGAAAAGATTTGGTAGAAGTTGAGTATAATATTTGGAAGTATGTTTACTTTGGTTCAGAATATATTGACTGTTTTTGTTTTTGTCATATGAGACTGAGCCTTTTATATCTACAGTACAGGCCAAAAGTTTGGACACACCTTCTCATTCAATGTATTTTCTTTGTTTTCATTACTATTTAAATTGTAGATTCTCAAAACTATGAATGAACACATGTGGAATCATGTGCTTAAGAAAAAAGTGTGAAATAACTGAAAACATGTTTTATATTTTAGATTTCTCAAAGTAGCCACCCTTTGCTTTTTTGATAGCGCTGCAAACTTTAGCTGTTCTCTCAATGAGCTTCATGAGGTAGTCACCTGAAATGGTTTTTACTTCACAGGAGTGCCTGAAGTAACCCTGACAAGGTACTTCTGTCATCAAGAGCAAAGGGTGGCTATTTTAAAGAAACTAGAATATAAAACATGTTTTTGGTTATTTCACACTTTTTTTATAAGTACAAAATTCTACATGTGTTCATTCATAGTTTTAATGCCTTCAGTAATAATCTACAATGTAAATAGTCATATAAAAAAATAAAGAAAAGACAAGGATGAGAAGGTGTGTCCAAACTTTTGGCCTGTACTGTACATGTACAGCATGTCCTCTTCCACAGAGGCCACCATCTTGCGCCACATTTTTTCAAATAATGGACAAACTAGAAATATATGTGAGATATGAAATGCACCACTTTGAAGACAACAAAGAAGAGAGGAAGTATTTGTATTAAAAGATATTTGTGAGGGCAAAAACTGGACAAATCCAGGATCACACTTATCTACATCACAAGTTCTTCTTGTCTTCTAAAACCATTGTTGCTTGACCGGCTGTTGGGGTGAGCAAAGGGAGCATTTCAGTCTAGAGTCTGAGTCTGACCACTAGATGTCCTAAATATCCCTGTTACCATTTACTGTATCTGTTAGAAAACACAGATTGATACCATGTCAAGATCTTTCAATCATGCTTTTGTAGTACACACTCGAGTCTGCTGCAGACCTTAACCGTAGCTGTACCAGATACTACACACGTGCGGGAGCAGAACACGCCATGCGCTTCATCAACGGCACACGGCTGGATGACCGTATCATCAGGACGGACTGGGACGCCGGCTTCAAGGAGGGACGGCAGTATGGCCGCGGCAAATCTGGAGGACAGGTGATGACGCCGAGATTTATTTGTCTGCTGTGTTTCAGTTTATAATTATTGCGCAGATTCCTGAGAGGTGTCTCTTGTGAAATGGTCAGGCTTTCCTCAGGGGTGTTTGTTGCAAAAACTATTGTCACAAACTAATAAAAAACCAACACATTTTAAAAAAGCTCCCTGGAAAAAGTACAGAGATCATCCTAAATTTCCCCTAACATCAGGATCTCTGCCTGCACTGAAGTCATCTAATTAACCGTCAGATAAAGTTCACCACATGCACACTTCTGTCTTCTTGATGAGGAGTTGGTTTGATAATAACAGAATAATTTCTGCCTTTCAGATTGAAATAAAAGTGTTAACTTTTATAAAAACAAACCTTTAAATAATCAAAGAGCACAGCATACTTGCAGGTGTTTCTCAAGTTTTTCTGGAGCTCTGAACTTTAAAATCCATAAACTGACTCGACATAAACCCTTTCCCCAACCCTTCAAAATCTGCAGCTTTAGGCGGCAGAGAAATGCAGCGACTGAGATTTGTAGGCTGAAGTGGAGGAAGTTTTTTCACCTCTGTGAGGGGAAATGACCACATTTGTTTGCATGAGCATAAAAAAGATCTGTCCAGTCCTGAAAAGACAGCAGTGTGCAAACCAAGCTGATTTATTCTGTTTACTGTTTACCTCCCATGTGGACTTGGTTATCCTTCTCTATAAGAACAAGAAAAGCAGAAATCTTCAATGCTGAGCAGGAAATCTGTTTCTCTTCACGTCTCTTGTTTAAGCAATTCAGTGTTTATTTGTTTGAGCCTCGCACTGAACGACTATGTCTGTAGAGTTTATATTTGTGAGCACGTCCATATTGATGCTCGTGTTAAACAACTCATGTCTCTACGAGCTGTGTAGCTTTGCGACAGTGTCAGTTATTGAATTATAATATGAAAAACTGTGATTTAGGGTAAATACGCATCTGGTAAATCAAAGTTTCCTTTTACCAAATAATCTATAATTGATTGTTTGCAGAAAATACTCTAAATTTGCAGTCCTCGTACAATCAAATTTTCTAAAAACGCACAAAATCATGCAGGAGTCGGCTTCCAGCCATCTGCACAGTTCTGCTCCTAGAAAACTGTAAGTGGATTTGACGGTCCTTGTTGTTGTGTATCTCTGTTATAAAGGCTGGAGCCAGCTATCATGTCATCAGGGCAGTATAGCTGATACTTTCATTTAGGGCTGGGCGATACACCGAAAATTTACAGATACCGAAAATTTACAACAGCAACCAACGTCAATTTGCCCATGTCAGTATATTCGGTGTCAAAACAAATGAATAAATAGAAAAGTAGACGAAGTTAATGTGGGAGGGGGTGTGCAACTTGTCGAGTAGTTATTGTCCATTTATCGTTATTGAGGTGAACTACTCAATGTAGCGTGATATTGATTTGAGGCCATATCGCCCAGCCCTACTATCATTTAGACAGGTGTGAGTGAGTCACCTTGGTCACCCTGAAACTTCACCGCCATCCCTCTGTGTATGATTGAACGGTTTTGTTTATAATTTTGCTAAAAGTCATTAGCTGCTGAAATTATTCATCTGCCAAATGTGTTTCCCTCCCAGTGGGGAGCAAACATGCTAATTAAGACAGAGAAATCTTGTTAAATCCCAACAGCAGATCAGAAGCTTCAGTCTAAAACTGCACCAGACCAGAATCCATGTCTGTCAAAGCGACCCAGACGAGCTGAAGTGTAAAAGAAAAATAAATAAACATTGGCAGTTTGGAAATGTTCCTGTAGTAGAGGCAGGATCCTGTGGAGATCATGTTGGGTATGATTCTGATGTCCTCTCTAACACCTGTTACCCAGGTCTCAGTTTGAGGTCAAACACGTTGAGAGTAACATCGTCCTCCTTTCTGCTCGTCTGTTTTTAACTCTGACAAGTGTTGGATTTTCTGCAACACAGCATTTTGGGAAAACAATAAGAAACCAAACAAACAATGGCATTTGAAAAATGACATAAACAGCAACGGCACTAAAAATATCAATACTTTATATCATGACATTTTAATACACCAGTATGATATTTAAAAAGTGATATAACTTCAGGAATAAATTATGCATGATTAACCATGACCTTTGAAGAGACAGCATTACTACAGCATGGCATTTTGAAAAATGAAAGCGTATATTGTGCTGTTAGCAAACACAACATGCATAATAATGTGGGATTTTGTTGTAGCGGTACACAAGGAGTCTTCAGGGAGAATGTAAATAGGAAAGCATAAATATTTGAACAAGATTTGTTATTGTGAAGGAGAATACAGACAAGTTGTGTTTTCAGGAAATGCCCTCCGGTCTGCAGCTTCAGAGTCAGGATCCTCAACTGCAATAATGAAACGCGTGTATTTACCTGTGCCCTCTGGCTGTGTTCTTATATCCCCTGTAGGTGCGAGATGAGTACAGGCAGGACTACGACCCAGCCAGGGGCGGCTACGGGAAGCTGGCTCAGCAGCATCGACCCCAAGAGGCGCGCAACACTTTCTAGATTGAACCCTCCGCAGAAGTCTGCCTGGACCTCACAGAGCCCAGAGTCCTGGATTAGGTACACTCCTCAACAATACCACAGACTACTTCTCTAATAGACTTTGCAACAGCCCGAGATTAAAGCGGTTCTTGATGTCATGGTCTTTGACTCATGCTTGCGGTCAGTCTGCATCTCAGCACATGCCAAACCTCGAAGTAAGTGTGTGAAATGAAATGATGGTTTGATCATCTTGTATGTAGACATGCCATAAACTCTCCTCCAGATTGAACACTGACAGCCTGCAGCGATCAGGTCTATTATCCATCAAGTATCAAGACAAAATGAACTCCACGTGTCTCTGGATTAAGATTAAAATTAAGAATTATGACCCCATCCTACTGATTCCTTCGGATGAAAGCTGGTGTCCCGAATTGTGTTTACTTTTTTTTAAATAAATTTTTTTTTAATCTTTCAGAAATGTCACTTTTGAAAGTTTGTGCTTGTTTTTGTCCAAGTGCCATTACACTTCACCTTTTTCTTTCGTGTTGACTTTATCGAGCGCAGAGGCAAAAACACGAGGAATGTACCGTCTTAGGTTTTCTTGGGAGTGTTGAAAATGTCATCACCTTCTAATTTCTAGTTTTCCAGTGATTCAAAGTTTCATCCAAAAGGTAACTGGACTTAGTGGAAGTTCTTGAAGACTTCTGACCTTTTAACTGAAAAGCCTTCTTCGGTATCCGAGAGCTCTAGCAGCCAACGAAAATAGAAAACACTTTGACCAAAAGGCTCTGAGTGAAGACGATCGTTTCCTCTGGGTTTGTTTGTAATTACTCCTCTTCATGAAGAGCATATAAGATGAAACATGGATCAAACCACCTGGCTTGTCAGATTTGGCGTCCAGCTCTCACTACAGAAGCTTTGCTGGTATCAAACACCCCTTGAAGGCAGCACTCTTGCTACTACTCTTCCTTTGGAATTTCCCCCTTTGGGACTAGTGAAGGGATATCTTCTCTCTTATGTTCTGTGTCGAATCAAGGCAGCGTCCATCTAGACTCAAATATCCCTCACCATCATAGAAAGCAACAGCATAGAAAAGCCAAACCTAACCTGTTTAGGTTAAAATCAGTGCAGCCCATTCAGAGTCCTACAAGTATGAAATCCTGCACTCTGTAAACGGACTCGTTGGTGCTCACTCTGCTCTCTCGCTGTGTTTCAGATGAGAAGATCAAACCCAGTGCCTGCAGAGTGGGCAATTAGTCCAGTTATTGCATGTTTAATCCATTACTTACCTTCAAAGACATACATTTCTTACTAGGGCTGGGTGATTCACCAAAAATTTACAGATACTGAAATTAACGACGATAACCAATGTCATTTTGCCCATATCGGTATATCTGGTGTCAAAAAAATAAATAAATAAAAGTTGGTTTTGGATGTGTGTAGGTAGGCTATGGTCTCATGTCCCTTTAAGACACTGTCCGGCATCGGAGACGTGACTCCACCCCATCCAAGTCCGTAACAGGGAGGGAAAGACAGGTGAGGAGATGGAGGACGGTTCAAAAGTTGTAGCTGCGGCTGAAGTAGACGAAGTTAATGTGGGAGGGGGTGAGCAGCTTGTGGAGTAGTTATCATCCATTTATCATTTTCGAGGTGAACTGCTCAATGAAGCGTGATATTGATTTGAGGCCATATCACCCAGCCCTAGTATGAAATCCTGCACTCTGTGAACGGACTAGTCGGACTCTGTCTTAAAAGTGAGTTTACTCTGCTCTCTCGCTGTGTGTCAGATGAGAACGTCAAACCCAGTACCTGCAGAGTGGCCAGTTAGCCCAGTTATTGCATGTTTAATCCAGTAGTTACCTTCAAAGTCGTACATTTCTTACCATTCAACAAACTTAGCCACCTGTTGATGTCTCCTGAGACTTATAGCTGAAGCTGAGCAGGACGACTTCTATTGGAGGATTATAACCACTCTCACGTTTTCGTTTATTGAATAACTTCAGGAAAAGTCTTAACTAGGTCAAGCTATCAGATACATTGAAATAAGGGAAACATGAAAAATCTCCGTCAAATATGAAATATGAGGATAACAAAAATATTAAAAGCAGTATTTCACAGTGTTGTTCATATAAAGAAACCAACATTAAAGCCTCTGCAGCACTGTAAATCTAATAAATGTAAAAAAGAAACAGCACAGTAACTTTGTAGGTCAAACATCACATCAATATATAAAACGTTGGGAGCCTGCAAAGTTCAGCATGTGAACAACCTCCTCTTTCCACCTGCAGCCAAGAAATTACCCCTGTACCCCTCATAAGGAAGTATGATTATGCTGGTGATGATTTTGCTGAGCAGTTGGTCGAGGCTCTGCTCCAAAAACTCCTCATCCCCCTTGTAATAAAGAACATGGTATCTTGGCAGCTCCCGAGCAGTCAGCTGCTCTCTTATCTCAAAGTGAGCTGTACTACTGAAGTGAGGAGCCGAGCGGAATACTAAGCAGCCGAATTGGCTCAGCCTCAGACACATTTTTGCATTATATCCCCTCCACTAATTCCTGCCATCAGCTACTACTCTTTATTCTTAATCACATCCTCTCAAAGAGATTATGAAAATGAACACAAGATGGCAGAAGAGGAGGGGGAGATTGTGGGAATAATTAGGGGCAGAGGGATGTGACAGGGAGCCAGCAGTCGCACACTTTCCATGTGGGCTCAAACCTCACAGTGAGATCAGAAGAAAGGAGAAAGCCTCTGCTTCCATTTGGAGCCTGCTGTGGTCTGCTCAAAGCATCAGAGGCATTAAAACAAAAAGTGAGAGGGACGGAGGACTTTAACCTCTGCCTCCTAAAGCATTAATCATTCCATCACCATCGGGCCCTTAAAACTAAGAGTCTAATTACTCTGTGATATCATTGTCGAAGCATGTGGGCTGATTTAGAGAGCTAATAATTATCAGTCACACAATTATAATCTTTCAATTTTATGAACAGGTCACATCAAGTCAGCTCCAGACCTCGAAGTTAATCCAGAAAATAACTATTTAAGATGTTTTTTTTTCTTCTTTTTTTTGCATGATGCGTTATTAAACAGATGTCACAGCTAGAGGTTTGTCGGTTAATTTAAAGGTGCTGTAAGGAACTTTCAGTCTCTGTTGACTTTGGCGCCCCCCTGTGGACAAAATGGTAACTCCCATTATTGATGATTTTGTCTGCAGGTGTTATGAACTGACCAAAAAAGAAAAACTTTTGTCTTTTTATAATTAAACATATGGCGCCTCTTGAATATTTTGCTGTAGGTAAAGTAACTACAGCTGTTTTTTTTTAGCATACCTACCCCCTCACAGCACATATAGGCATTAAAAATGATAGGATAGACACTGTCAATTCTATCAACATTAGTCCCATAACCTTTGTACTTAATAGAATTGCATTACTGTTCATTTAAGCCCATCTCATAGCCTTTCAAAAACTCCTCACAGGAGCTTTAGTAAACTGGCACATATCCAGCTTCTTGTACAAGCTTTGGTCTAGACCGGGTGACTTGTTGCATCAGTTCTAAGAGTGTCTCACTTTGGGGTGGAAAGTCCACACAAACCGAGACCCTGTGACTTCTAAGTTTGGATCTTGAGTTGTTTCATTGTGAGTTTGCAGCATGCAGACATGAAGTTCGTCTTAATCAATGAAAATAGAGTCTCAGAAATCACATTTTGCGCTCAGACTTTAACTGCATTAGGACTCAACAGATGGTGAGGAGGACTCAGACATATTTATCATTTTTATTTTAATGAACTTTTTTTGTTTTTCAATTCAGGGCCCTGATAGTACACTCATCTTGGAATGTTGGCTGGCAAGTGTGTTTACTTGCATGTGCATTCACGAGCCGTCGTATTCAGCTCCAGTTCCTGCGAGGATAAAAGGAACGCATCGTTCGTTTTGCTTCCAGCAGTAGTACAGTAATTGTGGGCTTAAGCAGAGCATCATGTTGGGCATGTAAAACAATCATCTACCGCACCCCATGAAGTAAATGAGGTACTAGAGTTATCTGGTGGATGATGTGAAAATGCTGTAACTTCATTGATTATTGAAACCTCCAGGCATGCCAGCGGGATTTTCTAAAATTTAATGTTGATTAAAAAAAATGTTTTCTACACACTCAAAATGTTCTGAACAGTCAGTCAAGGTTCATGCTGTCAAATTTGGAGTGTGAGAGGAACTGTGTTTCCATTAATAAAAATATTATCTATTAACTATATAGATATTATCTTAAAAATCACACAATAAATAAAAAGGATAATAAAACAATAGCCTGTTGAACGTGAACTCACAGGTGGTGGGGACTCGACTTGGGCTTAGATACAGTTAATGGGGTCGGGAATGGACAAGGACACAGGAAAGTGGGGTTGGACTTGTACTGGGGACACACGGGTTCTCATCATGGGCTAGGAAATGAGGGTAATGGGGACTGGACTGGGACAAGACAAGACATCAGGTAATATAGGCTTGGTTTGGACTTAGACACAGGTAATGGAGACTGGACTTGGACCTGGGAATACAGGTTATGAAGACAGAATTTGGACTATGACCCACGGGTAATGATATCTCATCATGGGCAATGAAACACAGGTACTGGGTTCTTGACTCTGACTTGGACACGGGTCATGGGGACTGGAACAAAACAAGACATCAGGTAGTGTAGGCTTGACTTGGAATTGGATTTAGGAATTGAACCAGTCACCCCCAAAAGCCTACGACCTCTGTGTATGGGGTACATACTTGCCTCTTGCTTCAGAGTGTGTAAGTTCTGACTCCTGTACCTGGTTTCCTCTGAACAGGTTGTAGGTATACACCCAGACTATAGGATTAACTATGAGGGGGCGTCCTGTGTACAGAGCATAAAGATTCAGAAGTGAAAACAGACAGGAGGAAATACTGAACATAGTGGACTCTAGCACCCGTGTCCCATGCCCTTTAATAACTCTGCAGGTTGGTCCTCAACTGAAGGAGAGGTGGCCTGAACTTCTGAAAGGATTGTTAAAAGGATTTCACTCTATCCTCAGTACCATAAAAAACCTGTTCATCCATAAAGCTTTATAAGGTCAGATGATTTGTGTTTGCCATTTTGCGTAAGCTCTGTGATTTATTCTTTTTCTATGCTGCCGCAGCTAAAGAGGTGAAGCTCATCAAAGCCCCGATTGTGCCCCCGAATTAATCGGTACTTGCAGATTTACAACATTAGCTGTTATCATCGTCTGGTTCAAAAAGTCAAGTTCAAATGAGGTCAAGTGAGAATAAGAAAGAGCCAAGGCCAGACCCGGAATTAATGAGGCATTATGCTAATGGAGATCTGTTTGGCAATGGGGAAAGAAAAACCTTGAATTTCCCCTCCTTTAACGGGATGAAAAACTCATAACAAAAGCAGACTGTCATTGACCGGTTCGAAGCGACGCTCTCAGAAAATGATCCATCATCAAAATGAAGAACGACGCCCCAATGACAGGCTTTTAGTGAGGAAAAACTCCCCAGCTTGGCCATTAATTCACAATAAAGGGCGGTTAATCATTGATAATGCAGCAGCATGAGCTTCATAACACCTTTTGAAGATTATTATCCTTTCCTCCAGTACTGTAGTCCTAATACGGTACATTTTAGAAACCCTAACAATTAAATATCAAACACTTCAAGCTCCTGAGGAGAACCCTAGTTTGTATGAATTTTGGTGCCCCCTGTGGACAAAGCAGATTTTGCTTATCTTGTCCTCTACATAATTAAACTTTTTTGTGGATATTTAAAGTGATTTTTTTAAAAGGCTGGTTCTTCTGACACTCATGAAAAGCCATCAGTATGAGTTTGAGGCTATTTCATGAATATGAAAAAACTCTTTACAGGAGTTTTAAGCAGCAATAAGAAAAGTATGGTTGGTCGAGTTGTATTGTGTCAAAAGTTTTGAGGCAATTTTAAAAAAATAACTCTAGTTTTTTACTAATTAAGGAGAAACTTTTAACCTTTCAACACATCTGAAACAATGATATCCCAAATTTTCTCACTAAATCTTCTTTCTTCTGAAAAAATACCGTAACACAATCTTATCTCCTTTTAAAACTAACAGATAAAATATGTTGTTTCAGCATTCAGCGTCAAGCAATTCTTCATCTAGGATTAAATAGATTTAATGAAATTCACTTTACGGGCGTAAATTTTACTTTTATCATTTTAATAAATGCTGTGCCATTTGAATTATCAATCCAAAAAGTCTGGGTGTTGTCATGGACAGTGATATCTAACCTTTAAAAGTCCTATCAATCAAATCACATGTTCGTCATTTATCATCTAAGAAATATCCCAAAAGTCTGGAGTTCTCTTTCAAAATCAGAAACAGAAAAATTAAAACGTGCCTTTATATCAAATGGACTGGATTACTGCTTCTCTGGTCAACCATCTATTCAGCAACTATCATTAATTCAAAATGCAGCAGCAAGAGCTCTCTGAAATGCCTCAACTGGCCCTCAGTCTAAGCTCAGGTTGATTTTTAAGTTTTCTGATCAGTGTCCAAAGTTGATAATTACAATATTAATGTAATTACTATTATCAAAGCTCTAAATGTCTCTGCTTCTCAGTTTATATGAGACACGCTTACCAGCTAGAACTCTCATATCCACAGGCTGAGGTCTCCTGTCAGCTTTTATGCCTCAAGCCGATGGATGGACTTGAGAGGAGCCCCATCGCTGAACACTTTTACAAGTTTAGATGCGCCATATGAATAAAACTTGACTTCACAGCTGCACCGTGCAGGTCTATAACAGTTTCCCACTGTAAGACAGGACTCTGCCGGCTTTTGTGATGCAGTTGGCCATTAAAAACAGTCGGATCAGCTGCGTCTGTATGCTTAGTTCAAACTCAGGAGATTTTCTAAAAGCATAATGGTGACTTTACTTTCCAACCGAGCAGCAGCAGGAGCTGAACTATGATGTGCTGAAAGGGACAAAAGAACCAAAAGCTATACAACTGGGAAATAAAAAGTAGGAAAACATACCTTTGGATGTTAGCGCCAAATCTAAATTAACCTCTTAAATGTTTCAGCTGCCAGCGTTTGAATGAGCATGCAGATCTCCCGTTATTGAGGAAGATCCAATTACAACAAACTAATTTACTCCTCTGTGAGAGTGTTTGGGAACAAATCCTCACCAGAGAGCTGCTCTGAGCTCACAAATAAGCTAAATTAGCGAATCTTAGCTCAACATTTTGAGCCATAGGGGAAGCATTTGTTTCTTCACAGTCAGGCTCAGTGTTAGCGTGAGCGCTGACGTGGATTTAGATGGAGCAGCGTTTCATGAAAAGACTGATGGTGAATCGCTGAAGAGGATTTGACAAGTGGAGGCTCCTTGTCCTTCCACAGAGATGCTGTTGTACAATATTTCATCATCAGCGGTTTCATTTCATCTGTTTTATGTGTCATCACATACAGTGTGACAGGGCGGTACGGGGAACATGAAAACAGTAGTCTCACGTCAGGGAAAATGATGGCACAGCTTCAAGTGAGGGCTCTAAAACCAACCAAAGGGAGGAGACAAGCAGAGTTATGAGTTATGAAAGAGCATCACTGCTCTGGACTTTGAGGAAAAATAAGGCTTTTATTCGGTTGTCATGGAAATTTGAAACACACGACCTCTGAATTGACTAATGTCCTGTTACAGTTCCACACATTTCCACCATTTTTGCACATTTATTCTCCCTCTGCCCTTCAGCCGTGAACAGGTGATTGACTTTAATGAAAGACGTACGCACAGTTAAAGACAGGTGCAGTGTGGAGGAAAAAGCACAGATGAAAGGATGAGTAAGACAGGGAAGGAAAACAAACCACGGTTTGAGGAGGGGGGGGGGGGGGGGAATCTTATTTGACTGCGCCGAAGCTTCAGGCAATATGAAATGCAATAAAAGCAAGAGAACAGCAGGCAGCTATTTTATTCTGAGAATTACAGAGAAATAAAACTATTCAAAATGAATAATTGTCTAAAATGCACAGAATTTATTCCCTGAAATTGTCCTGGAAACTCAAACCACCAGTTTCCTCTCAGTAGCCTGCAGCATCGTAACTGTTATGCCTGCTAAGTGTTTGACTCTCACAGGGAGAAGATGCTGTTTGTAATGATAAAAGAGCGAGTCAAGCGGCCAGAATTGTTGCTAAATTTTATGTGTTATTATTCCCGGCCTTGTTTATACAAGAGCGGCCCCATTAAAACAAGATCAAATAAGAACAAAAAAGTCTGAGTCCTATAACAGGGTCAAGAAAACAATCTGATAAAATAGTTGAATTGATGTTTGACTGGCATGTCTGTTGACATATGTGGACTCCTCAGCATTTCCTTTTAGATTGACATAGTAGAGACGGAACTATGAGTTAAAATTTCCTAACTTGTGAGAATCTGCTTCAATTAATGCAAATATCTGTTCTGTAACGAAGTAAAGGGTCATTTCTATGTAGCTGTTTGAGGCAGGAGTAATCACGAAGTTTCAACATTAGTCACATTTTGTAATCTCAAACTTTAATCTCGAAATTTCAATTTTTAATCTCGAAATTTTGACCTTATTAACATAATTTCAATTTTTTAAAGTCGAAATTTTGACTTTTCTCCTTCCTGTAATTTTTTTCCCTTCATGTGGCCCTAATCCTCTTTCGTACCTCTATCACTGCAGAGTTAGTTTTAGCCAAACTTTGACTCTCCTTGTTTTTAAGAAGGAGGTTTTTGAGTCTAAGTGGCGCCATCGAGCAGATGTACTGCATAACCGGAGATTTCCACTGCATCCGGAACAGCAGCGATTTTCGCCGTCCACCAATTCCTATAAGATCCATTTGTGAGGCGAATTTTGTGGCGGATTACAGACAGCAGGAATCGCGAAAACTCACAAGAACCCGCGGATTCACGTGCAATCGCGCGATATCAAGTTGTCTTTAGCCACATAGGCTAAACATATAAGCAGTAGACTGTGTCCTTCCAGAGGAGGAAATCCACTTCTAGACTTATAAAATCAGCATCTCCTAATCCACGGTGTCATCAGGATGAAATGTTTGTCTCCGCTCGTTTGCATGGTGTGAAATACGATCCACCTGAAACACGGAGTGTTTTATTTTGAAAGGAAGCCAGATGTTTTATTTTATGTCTGTGCACGACTTCTTTTTCAGCACGAGTTAATCTGTGCTGAATTTATCTGGCATGCTCCAATGTCTGGAAAAAATAGAACTCTTGCGATCAGCTGCAGAGTCCAGCGAGGCCAGTAGAAACTGACACATTGATTTGAATGGTTATAATCAGCTACGACCAACTGTTACAGCCTTTTCATAGCCATTCCGGATGTGGTGGAAATTGCCATGCCAGTGCAAAGAACGCACAGAAGTATGAGAGCTGTGATGATTAAACTATAAGACTCTATTTTTGCACGTGTGGAGCATAATTGAGCACTTCGCTGTACTTCTGCAGTATGTACAGTCAGTATGTTTGCATGCACAGATAAGTCAAGCTGCTGCTCCAGCTCGATTAAGGGATTTAACTAAACTACTGCTGCTTACAGCTCAGGACTGCTAGCTCTCTGCACCCACTCCGGCCTCATTACAGTATTCATTTTTTAATTGCGGAGTTTGAAGGCCATTAATAGATTTTTCATGACTGTATGTTTCATCT